GTAGCGTACTGCCGCGAGTTTGTACTTATTCGCTTTTGATTTCATGTTTGCTTTGGTGGCACTTGCGTGTTCCATCTGCCTTTTATCTGAGGAAAAAGCAATGAATCAATATTTTTTCGCAAATTATGTTTAGGTAAGTATTATTATTATTTATCGCGGAATAAAAAAATAACCTACTTAAAAATTTTCAAGAATTTATAATATTTTTTGCGTATCCACGTTAAATACGTTTCAAATACTATTCTACGAATGCTCTAATCGGTCTAACACTAACACTCTCCATTCATTAACATAAAGAAATAACTTTAAACAAAAACAAGTCAATGTGGCCGGAGTGAGGTGAAAGCGTTACATCGACCAAGCAAATATAATTTAGTGGGTAATTTTTGGTGAAAAGTGGTAAAATACATGTGCTCCTGTGCCCGTGACAATATTCCCAGCAAGTCCATTCCCGTGTTTTGCCAAACGTTATTTACAACTACTCACGAGAGTCTTTCTACTCGAGATAAAAGCACCATTACCCTTCTCTAGTATGCACTATCTAGGAACGTACCTAAGGCCCTTTTATTTCAACTAAGCACATACGGTCTGAATAATTTATATCTGTAGCCACAGAAATGTAGCATTTCGGGAACAAGCGGTCTTTGGATTCCACTTGCTTTTAAAATATCTTTACTAACTGAGGCCCGAGCACGAATTTTGGCAGCTCCGTAATCGTATCGTTAACGTCAAATTGTGTGAAAAAAGCTAGTTTGTTCTTACTTCTGATAGCTGTTGAGTTTTCATAGAAACTTTGAAGATGCGATTTGATTACGGAGCTGTCAAAATTCGTGAATGAAATTCGGTGGTGTAGAGATGAGTCAAGTTAAGCTATTTTTAAAGAAAATATAACTAGAAAAAATTTCACGCGGACCAGGCAGCAGACGGGACTCGAACCCGCACCCTTCGCAATCCGGGCGAATGCACTGACCAATTATGCTACCGCGGCCCTCACGGACCGCGTCCAAATTCTTTCTAGCTATTCTTAAGCTGAAAGGATTTCGACGCGGTCCGTGAGGGCCGCGGTAGCATAATTGGTCAGTGCATTCGCCCGGATTGCGAAGGGTGCGGGTTCGAGTCCCGTCTGCTGCCTGGTCCGCGTGAAATTTTTTCTAGTTATATTTTCTTTAGATTTAAACATCAAGCAGTTACATGCTTTAAAAATAATAAAAATTATAACTATAATTGCTATTTCTTCTTTCAAATGTTTAATACTTGTAAAAGTATTCATTTGACATTGTGGGTTTACCTATAATGCGAAGAGATGGCGCTGCCTTGCAGCTTAAGAATAGCTAGAAAGAATTTCGACGCGGTCCGTGAGGGCCGCGGTAGCATAATTGGTCAGTGCATTCGCCCGGATTGCGAAGGGTGCGGGTTCGAGTCCCGTCTGCTGCCTGGTCCGCGTGAAATTTTTTCTAGTTATATTTTCTTTAGATTTAAACATCAAGCAGTTACATGCTTTAAAAATAATAAAAATTATAACTATAATTGCTATTTCTTCTTTCAAATGTTTAATACTTGTAAAAGTATTCATTTGACATTGTGGGTTTACCTATAATGCGAAGAGATGGCGCTGCCTTGCAGCTTAAGAATAGCTAGAAAGAATTTCGACGCGGTCCGTGAGGGCCGCGGTAGCATAATTGGTCAGTGCATTCGCCCGGATTGCGAAGGGTGCGGGTTCGAGTCCCGTCTGCTGCCTGGTCCGCGTGAATTTTTTTCTAGTTATATTTTCTTTAGATTTAAACATCAAGCAGTTACATGCTTTAAAAATAATAAAAATTATAACTATAATTGCTATTTCTTCTTTCAAATGTTTAATACTTGTAAAAGTATTCATTTGACATTGTGGGTTTACCTATAATGCGAAGAGATGGCGCTGCCTTGCAGCTTAAGAATAGCTAGAAAGAATTTCGACGCGGTCCGTGTTGGCCGCGGTAGCATAATTGGTCAGTGCATTCGCCCGGATTGCGAAGGGTGCGGGTTCGAGTCCCGTCTGCTGCCTGGTCCGCGTGAAATTTTTTCTAGTTATATTTTCTTTAGATTTAAACATCAAGCAGTTACATGCTTTAAAAATAATAAAAATTATAACTATAATTGCTATTTCTTCTTTCAAATGTTTAATACTTGTAAAAGTATTCATTTGACATTGTGGGTTTACCTATAATGCGAAGAGATGGCGCTGCCTTGCAGCTTAAGAATAGCTAGAAAGAATTTCGACGCGGTCCGTGAGGGCCGCGGTAGCATAATTGGTCAGTGCATTCGCCCGGATTGCGAAGGGTGCGGGTTCGAGTCCCGTCTGCTGCCTGGTCCGCGTGAAATTTTTTCTAGTTATATTTTCTTTAGATTTAAACATCAAGCAGTTACATGCTTTAAAAATAATAAAAATTATAAGCTATTTTTGTTAAGATTAGTTGTATGAGTTTGAATTTTTTGAAAGTTTGGACATATTGAGAATTAAACGGAGTCCATAAGGGTCACTCGCGTCCGCTCGCAGTGGAAGAAACACACATAATTAAGAAAAATAAGAGTAAAATTTATCTCCTTTTTATAACGCTTTGAGAAACACTTTCAATTGTTTTTTTTTTTTTTTTTTTTTTTATAGATAGGTCCGACAAATGACTCCACCCCACCTGATATTAAGTGAAGGTGAAGTCCAGACGTGACGATAGCTGATACAGCAGTTTTACCTGCCACACCAGCCATCTTCACCCTGCCGGCCTGCATGTTGCTTCTTCACGCCTCTTTTAAAGGATCCCAGGTTGTAAGAGGGAGGGAACACGTGAGCGGGCAGAGCATTCCATTTACGGATAGTGCGACAAAGAAATGAGTCACCAAATTTCTTTGTACGCGTTGGAATTGTGGCCACAGTTAGACGATGACAACGTAGGCCAGCGCGCGTGGTCCTCTGAAGGAAAGGAGAAGGTGGGATAACAGAGAATAACTCCTCAGAACACTCGCCGTGGTACAGACGATAGAACGCGCTTAGTGACGCCACGTCACGGCGTAATTGAAGAGGCTCAAGGTGTTTAGTCACCTCCTCATCGCCTATGATGCGGATCGCGCGTCGCTGTAACCTATCCAAAGCATCGAGCAAAGAAATTTGAGAAATGTTGACTTCATGCCTTTTTCCATACCCCAGCCTCACATGTAGCCACAGAAATGTAAATGTGTGATAATCAATGTAACCAAAATTTGCCCTAATTTTACTTGAGGATCAAGATTTTTTTTATTATAGCCGCATTCGTGGATTTTTTTATGCCTAAAGGTTGACTGGCAGAGAATGCTTTTAGCGTTAAGTCCGCCTTTTGTCCATTATATAATTGTGGCAATAAAGTTTAAATAAATAAGAATTTACCACTCCCAAAACTCACGCCATTGTTGGGCTTACATACAGAACAGCAGCTGTGCCCTGTGGCCCAACTATTTTCTCTATACACTCTTGTGAATCAAAATACTATCCATTTTGTTGTGCTTTGGACGAGTAGTATTGGTGCCAACTTATGGAGTCCGGTTTGTCTATCTATCTAGCTAGCTTATGAGATTCATTTATTAGTTGAACTGGTGGAGGCTCAAAGTAAATTAGGTACCAATTACATCCTTTGTGTACGGAACCTTAAAAATATGCGTAAAGTTTCTATCGTTCTGCGTCCTTAATTTCTCAGTGGACGCGATCTCCCTTCCCCATTTCCATCACCACCTCGCAATGTTTCAGCTACCTATTTCATCTCATCCCATCGCATAAGAATAAGATTTTTATAAACTCATTTTTGTAGTCATTCTACTTTCTACAAAGGCGACGGGAATTGAAAAAGTTCCAGCCGAAATTTAATTCGAGTTTAGCAACAGCCGTAGAGCGTTTTAGCTTCTGTGATGTGTTTCGTTGTTTATTTACTTTGTATCTATAAGTAACCACTTAGATTGTCTTGCTCCGCTAATTAGTTGGATATTATTTGAGAAACAGCCTTTGTGTTATCTGCGCTCCCTTTGATTTAGACGTCAGACGCAATTTCCGGTTCCAATGGAACACTCCCAGTTTATTTCCGGTTGGTTATGTTTATAGGAAAGTATACGTTTGCCTCCGGTTTATTCCAACTGTTCGAGTTGAAATTCTATTTTGGCATTTTTTTTTGCAAAAAGTACCTTGTTTGATGTTATAATATTAAAAACCCAACCTTTTATTTTGAATTCACGGAAGAATGAATAAAAATGGAATACTCTTACTGACCGCGTCGGCCGTGTTGCTCTATATCTAATCTCAATTGTTATAAGCACGGACCTGTTTAGGTCTGTGGTTCTAGCACACGAGTTAAGAAAATATGGTCTGTACGTTTCTTTACTCATGTGGTTAAAGGTTGCATTTTGTAAAATAATGAATTGTTAATATTTAAAAATATGACTTCCTATGTATCAATGCTTATAGGACATACTTTATTAATGCTGCATGGTTTCTGGTTATATTCTAGTAGTGACACTTGCTTAGGGGATCAGAAAGTAGAGTAGAGGTATCTAGCACAGAACAGAAGTATAATTTTAAAGGGCACATTGTGTTTTCTACTTCAATTGCACGGTCCGTCTGACCAAGCACTAAGATATCTACATTACTTCTTGTTGACATTAAATAGGCTCACGTTTTAATGTAGTGGGAACTAAATAGGCTCATGTGATACGTGTGAATTTACTGTCTACAGGTTAAGAAAAACTGGGCAGATAAACGCGAGAGAGACAGCGATCATGCTGCGAAAAGTTCGGACTATAACTATTAGCTTCACCATCTCTCTTTTTCTGGAGGGATGTCAATTTTCAGGCGTATACCGTTCTTTATTTCACCGAGCCTCTGAGCTGGGTGAAATGAGTGGGGATCTTCAGATACCTTATTCGCGCTACTCCCGGTGGTTCAGGGAGCTATAGCACCTTTTCCAGAAATAAAAAAGGTTCAATCCATTCTCTTTGTTTTTATGTAGTGCACCGCTGAAGAATATTACTACCACCCATACAACGTGACTCGGAGCACGGTCTCTGGTATCGCCGCATACCGTTCCGCCCTCACGCTGGATTGGCTAGCAGCCGAGGACTCGCGCCAGAGGGAGTTGGCAGCAGCCTTTGAGACAGAAGCGGCCCCTCCATCCAGGGTCCTTGCCACAGAGTGCATTGCTTACTCCCGCCCGTCTGCGGGAAAAGTGGCGAGACTTATGCTGGAGTTGTTGAAGTAAGAATATGACTCATGTGGGATACCGACCTATTAGTATTTAAGAGTACAACATGACTTGGAGTACCATCCCCGGGATTGCCATGTATCGGTCGCTGGATTAGCTGGCAGCAGAGGACTCACGACAGATGGAGCTGGTAGCAGCTTTCGAGACGGAAGCGGCCTATCCGTCCAGGGTCCTCGCGACACAGTGCATTGCTTACTGCAGCCCGTCTGCGGAAAAGGTGGCGAGACTTTATGCTGAAGTAGTTGAAGGTAGTCTTATTTTAAGAATAAACCTATCAAATATGTTTAATTAAATTATAGATGCAAATGTAACTTTGTTATCTGCCACGCTAAAACGACCTAGTGCAGGTACAGTTTGGAACAATTGGTTACCTGATCTTGAACAGCTTGGAATTGGAATTGTGAGAGATTAGGTTCCTGAAAGAATTATTATTACTACTAAACCTTAGGATTGTACTAACTCCAAGTTCATTTATATACAGCTTCAACTAAATTCCGAGCTCATTTATATACATACAGCTGTGAATTAAGCTTGTATTTTTTTCTCAGTACAGTTTTACGGAAATCAAAACTTTTGTATAATTCTGATTAGCCTTCACTAGAATAAATTGCCATCTACGCACGGCGTCCTATAACATTTTTACTATTCATTAACCTATTTCTCAGAAATTTGGAAGGTGATGATGCGAAGTTGGTACCGGAATTGATACAAGTGTTGATCAGAAACAAGTTGCTGGTGGAAACCTCGGCCCTGGATGCGGAGCCGGACCTGGAAGCACTGGTGAAGACTCCAGGGGTGATGATGGGGGAACCCCACGTCACGTTCCCCAGGATACTCGCCATGTTATGGCTGACTATCACCGACCCAACCACGACGAAGAAGTACGGGTGGTGTCCAATCAATAAGGTTATACATTCATTAAGAGAAATAGGTAATAAGCAAAGCACTCGTCAAGTCCTTCTGGAGAAAAACTTCTCACCTTACAGAAGATGGCAGCCAAAAAACTACTCTGTAATGTTATAATTAGCCAGGGGTTTCTTATACCAGGCAATTCGCTAACATTATGCTATACTGGTCGTTATTGATGTAAAGGATTTTTTAGGTTTTAAGTAACTTTTGCAATAGAAACAGGAATATAGTTTTTGACTAGTGCTACTGTTTAAAATTGCAATAGAAATAGAGAATAAGTTGAATTGCTCAGGAACTTCGTCTTACCCAGATAGTTACTATTTCCGAAATAACAAGAAAATAGAAAAAGTTTTTTTTCTGTTCTGTGGATATCACTTCCACACTAGAGCACTGTATATATTGCTAAGATAGATCCGAAACCTTGGTCCACTTATCAAGTTTACGTGGGTGGACTCCGGAGACTTGTTATGACCCTTGGTTCACCTGTGCCTCCTCCCAACCTGCAACCTCCACTGAACTTTTTCAATTTTATTAATATATTTGTCATATTGTGAGACCAAACGGAATTCCCGTAGTCTCAAGCACACTGTGGTAATATGCAAAATACACAGCTTTAAGACTCTTTATATCTTTAAACGATTTGCAGGTTCTCATTACAAATCCCAAATTGCGGTATGCCTTATTGACAATGTAATCTATGTGTTCGGAAAAATGCATTTTCGAATCCAGTATCGTTCCCAAGTCCTTGATGACACTTTTAGTTCTTTCAATAATGGTACCATTAAAGTTGTAAGGATATGAAATGGTTTGTTTTATTCGACTGTAGCTAATACATTGACCTTTATCAGAGTTAACAGTAATTTTGTTTTTTAACGTTATATTCATACAAAGCATTTAGGTCACTTTGAATAAGTTCGCAGTTAGATTGAGATGTAACTTTCATGAAGACTTTTTTATCATCTGCATATAGAAGGTGATTCTAATGCCGCAAATACCGGGTTTTGTCATATATGTAAGCATTATAGAATAAGAGGCCAAAATGGGATCCCTGTGGAACGACGGAAGGAATATGTATGTAATCTGATTTGAACCCATCCAAAACCAAAGCTTGCGAATGGTTTGTAAGGGAAGATGTTGTCCATCTAAGTAAGTCACCTCGAATTCCAAGAGTAAAAAGTTTGTCTAACAGGATCACATGATCGACAGGGTCAAACGCTTTTGCGAAATTCGTATAGATCACGTCAACCCGCCCCCGTTCTCCATACCACGAAGCACATAATCAGAGAATTCGGTCAGATTCGATGTTGTGGATCTACGCTTCAAGAAACCATGTTGGTGGTCTGACAAACCATTTTTTACTAGGGAACTAATGCCGTTGTATAAAACATTCTCAAGTAATTTACTTAAAATGTTTAATTTTGACATGGACCTATCATTACTTATTTCCATCTAAAGCCTCGATGAAACGGGGCGAGTTCACAAGCTACAAGCCAGCGAGTTTACTAGCAGCTTGTAAACTCGCCCTGTGTCATCGAGGCTTTATAACCTTTTTTTGAACTTGAATGTTAATTGCCTTTTCTAAGTGCGGCCTCAAAGTGTTTTTTTTATAAAGAATATATCTGCAGGTGAACAAGTACTTGTCAGCAAACAAGCCCGCAGTGGTAGCTAAGCACATGCGCGCACTTGAGCCGATAGTCGCGCGCGCACGTTTTATAATGGAAGAGTTCATACAAAACATCACGCCGCTCAACATATACCAGAAGAAGACTACCAAGTCTGAGACAGCGGTAAATATCAGCCTGTTAATGTCTCCAATATAGGGACACCTGTGTCCCTGCCTTCTCTACAGACGAAAAAGAGAGGGCCATCAGTAATTACGCGATCTCATAGACCTTGCCTATAAATCGAATAGGGAGAATGGTTCATGACATGATTCACCACGCGGGCCCAGTGCGAAGTGGGTGCTGACTGCTGATGCAGCCGGGCGAGACTAATAGCTTATGTATCTTCCAAAGCACGAAGAAGCCGCGCAATTGAATACTCCATTATTGAAGAAATCAATCGATACTCTCCTTGGTTTTCTTAGGTTTACCGGCAAAACTAATTTTGATGTTTTTATGTAAAACAGGTGGTAAATAAGCTTAAGTCCGCCTGACAGCTTGAAACTCTTGTAATTTAATTTACATCTTGTGATAAGTTCAACAAATCTTTAGGCACCAGTGAGGCGTATGGTGTCACTTGGAGGCAAACTGGTGAAGACTGTAAGAAGGCCAATGAGATACTATGAATCGGTTAGTTAAATATAATATTTTTTATATAATATTTGCATTCATTGTCTTTGTGAAACTGAGAGGGAGAAAAAATACATTGGTAATTAGTTGGGCCTTAGCATATCAGATCGATATTGAGCTGTGCTGTGCTTATACTAAAGTGTTGAGAAGAATGCGTTTGTGACGGGTCGTAATAGTTATTTTCGTTATCATCATTATCAGCTATATGTACTTCGCCTACTGCTGAAAATAAACCTCCCTTAAGAATCATCACACCGATTGGTCCTGCACCCCTCGTATCCAGCAGCTTCCCGCGCCCTTCACTAGATCGCCGGCGTTGGTCCACCTGGTGGGGGCTTGCCTAATCAGCATCGTACAGTGCGCGCTCACCATTCGCTCATCGGCAGTATTGTAGAAACAAACCAAAACCACACAAAGCACAGCGTAGCATATGTTGATAAGAGATGAGATATGATATATGAGATAATATCATCTAAGAGAAGCGAGTTGACTAAATAGAGCATAGTACAGCGCAGCGCAGTATAGCTTTACGTTGATAAGTCGCCCTAACCTAAGCCATAACATACCTTCAAACATTTGAACAATTGGTCTGAAGACTTTGCACACATGTAGCATCAAGGATTGTTTTGATGTTTCCAGGATAAAGTTGACGAAATGCTAATGTCGACGACCAATGATAGTATGGCGGAAGAATCTCTTCCGATGATAGACGGCTCGCAAGAAGTGGTAACCAACACTTGTGACGCGCTAGTGATGTACAGGAGCTTGGTCCTTGTGTGTCTTTTGATATAAACCTTTTTTAAAAAAAAACGCTTTCTTTCATTGAATACAGAATTTCAATTCATGTTTATTTCTTAGCATGTTTGTATTGAGATTCATTTGCACTGAGCGCTTTTTTAAACTTTGAAATGGGAATAGACAGGGAAGGGCGTTTGATAACACGCAGAAAGGATCTGCTACATCCACGTCTGATCGAACCTAAACTTAATGTTTTTAAACATGGCTATGGGTACCAGGCGGTCGAAATTTTTAATAGGCTTCCAACCAGTTTGAAATCCATTATTGACTACAAATCTTTTCAAGAAATTGAGGGACTTCTTTTTGAAGAAAATTTATTACAGCGTTTATGAGACAGGATTAGGTGGACATGTTTATTTATTATTTTTTTCATATAATTTTGAGGTTTATAGAACTACAAAAGAAAATCATAAAATACCGTCATGTGTGTTTTTTAGTTTTAAAAGACGCTTTAACAATTTGTTTATTAGCATACTTAAGATCTACAGAAAGCTTTAAGTTTTATCTTTTTCGGCTTAAATATTGCGTCGTATATTTTTTAATAATTTAAGCGACCCAAACAAGATTACAAATTCACAAAAGTTCGATTAACAGAAAAAAGTGTGGATACGTAAATACACTTAGCTAAATTGCAACCTTTTATAGTAAAAATACATGAACTTTTAAACCTCTTTACTAAATGGAACGAAAAAATAGAGCGAATCTTCGAACGGTAGCTATGTTTTATTTATGGGTCTGACAGCTAAATATGTTCGGGAGACAGATCAGATATACTTGCTCAAATCAGGCTACCTGTGGACAGCGGTCGAATCAAGAGGCACATTTTTGGTCTTAAAATATACCTGTAAGTGACATTCGCCTGATATTAAACGATGTGATTTGCCCGAGAGATTACACACCCTTTCTGTCCCTGATCAGCTATTCTATGAAGATATCTAAATCTTACCCATGACACACGCAATAGCAAGAACCAATGGACCGCTTTAGTCCAAACGTGTATGAATATATCGAGGTACCCACAGTGCGAGCGCATATTTTATATTTTTAAGCTATTGTATAGCTTTTATCGCGGGCTTTGAGCGCGGCGACCGAATCAAGAAATTCCGTAACGAAAAAACCTTACGAGAGTGCATATACCAATAGAACACAATTTTCGTCATTCCAGTATCGATCTAAATGGCGCAGTGTGTTGGATTTTTGCCACGGGACCAACGTGATTTAAACCGACGACGACCGCGGTGATGCGTCGACATCACCGCGGTCGTCGTCGGTTTAAATCACGCACACCATTTTTTTTATTTTTTTATATATTTGTTTTACCCTCCAGCACCCGTTCTTATTTTTATTTGTCTCCTTTTTATTTAGACTTTATAATTATAATTTAAATTTTTGGACTAAAGATGGTAAACTGTGGAGCTTCTGGAAGTTTTTTGGCGCCGGGCAATGCTGTTGTTTGCTGTGCTTGCCCAATAAAATATCATAAGGTCTGCCTCGCCATCTATTAAGATCAAAGAAAAAACGAAATAATATCAAAGAAAAAAAATACTGCATATATAAAATAAATAAATAATTAAAATTGCCTAAGTGGATTAAAAATACTATGCAATAGCTTTACCGCGGCAGTCCCCGAGTGCCACAAGTATTTTTTTTAATTATATTTTTTAGGCAAAGGTTAACGTTGTTCGAAAATTGTGTACGATCGCAGCACATAATGCATGCTACTACAAGTGAATTCTCTCGGGCGAATCACATAGTTTAATATCAGTTGAACGTCACTTACAGGTAAGTTCGTTTAACTTTCAATAATAAATCATATGATGGTTAATATTGGCGTTAATTTGAATACGCCTTCAAGTTACAAGTTAGTTCCCTACAATGATCTTCTATAAAAAGGTCATTCATTAACAAGCATATAATATAGCCAATTATATACTAAACGAGAGAATTTACATGTGAAGTATTCCTTGCGATGCATAAACAAATTAGTACTGCCCACTTCACGCCTCAAGCTAAACTTAACAAGTACCTTTAACTTTTCTATAATCATATCTAACCATTTACCAGAGACATTAAGAAACGAAACTAATGACATTGTATTTATAATACAATTAAAACTGTTATTAATCGAGAAGTGTTACTATAGTATTAAAGATTATTTGAATGACAATCTTAAGTAAATAGCGACTAACATGTACATAATTACAATAAAATGATACACATAAATGACATATACAATTATACACACAAACATACATACATAAATATTATTTAACTTGACATTAAAGGATAACATTTTTTTTACTAGTAGCCCGCCTATTAATTATTTGTAAATGTAATGAATTTTATCTTCACTTAAATCACACTAATATTATAAAGGCGAAAGTATGTGAGTGTGTATGTTTGTTACTTCTTCACGTCTAAACGGCTGGAACGATTTTAATAAAATTTGGTATGGAGTTAGCTGACACCTTAGATTAACACATAGGCTACTTTTATCACGAAAAAAATTTAGGTTCCAGAGGTATTTTCAAGAAACTAAGTTAACGCAGACGAAGTCGCGGGCGACCTCTAGTAATATATAAATTACCCATAGTGATATTCAGTACCTAACTCTTTCAATTTATAAATTAACATAGAAAGAATGTAACTCCTCTCTTCTACCTCTCATTGAGTTGCGTGCCCGACATATCCATAATGATCGTATTATGTCATAACTTATATTTAACATCTTTTTGTACATTGTGGACATAGATGAATAATTGGTTTCGCTTCACTCGACTAGATACCGCCGGCGTACTTGTCTAATGCGGCAACAAATACTATGCCGAAATCGGCATACCCGAGCTTTCGCCGAGCCAGTCAACCTGACAGTTGTGTACGGGGTGTACGTAGTGAATGTTTTATTAAAATTTGGTGTTAAAGTAAAGTGCCAGTTCATGTTGTGAAATAATACAACAATAAATAACAAGGACGCTGGGATCACATAACATCAATAAGTATAGTAAAATTCCGAAATTTCAACATAAAATAACATGAACCCTAAACGTCATTCAGGTGTTGCCGCGTAAGCAAGAATCAAGTCCCTGTGGTTGAGATTTTTATTTATAATGTGAATTTATTGTTAGTGTATTTTATTATTGAACCTATGTTATTTAAACTTCCTATTAAAATTGCAAATAAACTTAACCTAGTTTTATATTATTTAACGTTTATCTTTGTGATCTACCTTTTATTCCTATGATATTCTGTTATTATTTTTAATATCATTTTTTCAACACATTTGCTTGTAAACTGACTCTTATTATTTACACAGTTTTTAGTTTCACAATTCAGCATATTAACTAGCATCTTGTTGTGTATTTTTTTTTAATTTCAGCATATTATTGAAGTTATTTTAGGGTTAAGATGACAAATAATTCATTTTATATTTATAAACACAAATTAACTTAACTCACTTATTAAGAAACACGCCTAGTCGTATAAGTACACTAAAATATTGATATATTCGCATTTAATTAAGTGCATCTTCTTCAAGTATTTTATGAGCTATATTTATAACCTGGTACATATTAATTATAACTTACAATATTTTCCCTATTACTTGGGTAGAAGTTGAGCAGCTGGCTACACGATTTATAACATTTGATAGCGTCATTGCAAATTGACATACACACACTACAACAATGAGTTGCCGCATTTTCGGAGCTGTTGTTTTTTGTCAGCGCGGTATCTAGTTGAGTGAAGCGAGACCAATCATTTATCTATGATTGTGGATATGAAATAAACGAATTGAATTGAAAATTTACTAGAAATAATTACACTCCTGCGGTCAGCCATGGGTCAGCCTGACACCTCGATAGCGAATCCTTCGCCATGCCTTGACCGAGTGGGTTTCTTTGTAGCAAATATTTTTTACTAGCTAGTAAAGTGAAAAGCTTTTCACTTTTCATAAGTGCTTTGCCAAGTTGCAGTTACCGTTATCATTGTAACACAACATCAACAAAAAGGTAATGTTAAAATCCAAAGAAGCTATTTATGTACGTAACGCTAAATTGGACGAAGAAACTTGCAGTAAAAAGCGGAATGCATAATTTCCTTGTTAAAATCTTTTTGCTTGATTGAGCTCTTTGCTTATTTTGGAGAGATTAGCATGCCTATGTCAAGGCATAGGTGTCGCAGACATGTCAACAGAAGTTATAGTTATTTTTGCAAGTTAAAATTATGTTACGCCAAAGCATAAAATAGAAGTTACTTTCATTCGCCATTTTCACGGGAAACGATATATTATCATGGTTATGTCAAGGGATTGGAGATGGAAGGAACAGTGTGTGTTGTGTTGATTTGTTTATTTTGTATGGTAAGTAATATTTCAAGTTGATTTAAATTTTAAAGAATGTTATTAAAGGTCTCTGGCCATTAGAGACTATCTATGCAGATCATGAACTTTTATATTAGCCGATAATTAGAGCTTCTAATTATAATTGATTGATTGACCGAGCGATAATGGTTCAAACGTTAACATTGATATTGGATCAGTGTGCTAGGTGCTAGCTAACAGTCCAATCTAACTACTTCAGTTATTAATTATGATATAATGTGGATAGTTCAGAAGTGATTATATAAATTACTCAAAGTTTCGTTTCTTTATCTATAAAATAGTACTTTGATAATTTTATTAAAATTGCAGCACAGCTTTGTTCTATATTAAATGGCGATTGCGATTGAGTTCACTATAAAAGACATTGAAAGGCTCTCGTTAATTGTAATGGACATATTAACGGAAATGTAGGATATTTTGGCAATATTCACGGTAATTTTCCAATCTTTCTGGTAACGTCACATCAGCAACCTATCAATTACCTGATCTCATTTTTTTATTTTAACGATTCCATCTGCCTTTCCTTTGTTTGTGTCACCAATTTAATATTTATCAATCAACTCATCATTATCATCATCGTTTGCGATACCTTTGCCTAATTGAAGCTTTGTATTATCTTAGAAACCTGTAAGAACTAAACCAGATTTGGACTCGGAGTTGGCAGCCAGCGAGGATCGATGGATGTACCGGCACAAGAAGATGGATGAGTTGGAAGCAGCTTGTTCCGCCCTGCAACCCTCGGCTAAGGACATCGTTAGGCGTTTCTATGCAATACTGCCTTAGTAAGCTATAGTTAAAAAGAGTATACTCTTTCCTTAAGAGCCCTTTAACATTTTTGGCAAAAAACGTAATTTTTGAGCGCCTCATTTACCCCCTTATAAAATATTTTGACTATTTCCAATAAAAGTAAACAGTAGATTTATTTTTCTTATTGTAAGTTAATGTAGAACATTTGCAAATACTATTTTTTTTGTACTGATCGTTCTACTGCAGCTAGTTTACGGAAAAACGATAATATGCACAACTTCAAACGCCTCAATCTCTTAATAATGTTCAATAAATTAGATCAAATTAATTACTACGACATCAGAAATATGTTTTTGTTGTAACATAATGTATTAGAATTTTGATTTTCTATCTCATTAATTATAAAAAAAACATCTAACCTCCGTGAGTTTTCCTAAAACATAATGCAGGTTTACCTCGTATTTTGATATTGAATTAAATAGAATCAAAAACTTTCATAAAACTAATCTACCATCATTGAACTACTGAAAATGTATATATTTTTATAATTAGTTCATTAATAATTATTTCATAAGACTCGAAACATCACCCGTAAAATGCAATATATATAGTGCAAATCTCCACGCGCCGATCAGTACGGCAGCGGCGATATTTTGTAAAAGGGCTCTCTCATTTATTTTTATAGATAGGTCCGGCAAATGATATTGTATGGAAACTTGAACAGCAGCGCCATAATGCACGTTACGAGAACTAAAATACAGTAAACATTTGACAATAACATTTCGTACTCACAAACGATACGAATTCGATATTGGTTCGTGCAAGGATATTGATATAAACAGTAAAAGTACTACACCTACGTGTACAAAGAAGTTTGGTGACTCATTTCTCTGTCGCACTATCCGTTCATGGAATGCTCTGCCCGCTCACGTGTTCCCTCACTCTTATGCAGGCCGGCAGGGTCAGGATGGCTGGTGTGGCAGGTAGAACTGCTGTATCAGCTATCTACTCGTCTGGACTTCACCGTCACTCATCATCATCATCTGGTGGGGTGGAGTCATTTGTCGGACCTATCTATAATTAAAAAAAAACCCTACACCCATACAAAATATTGATTTACATCAATTACTAAGTATTCTAAAATAGTGCAAAGTAGATTGCTCAGCTTCCATACGTGTTTGGCCTAAAGACCAATAATCATGAAAAATTGCTTCCTAGATTCGAAATTATATATAAATTACTGTAGAAACGAATATTATCGACGGACACCCCTGAGAACTTCTATAAACCATATACACTGAATGATTTTAAGGTTATGTTTGCAAGGTCCACAGGTATTAAAATAATAAAAAACAAATAAGTTATATAGTAAAATAGGGAAATCAAGCCAACTACCGAAATTATGTATTAGATTCAGGTATATAGAGCATGTAGATTATCAGATAATTGTTTTTAAAGTTAATGCACAAGAGTAACTTTTAAAATCGGGTATCATCTATGCATTTCCGGTTATAAGAAGGTACCTATTCTGTGACAGAAACTGTGTGATGATTGTTATTGAGCCATAGATTAGAGAGATTTTTTAATTCTCGTTAACCAAAGAAAGCTAAGAGATTTAGGTTATACGGCCATATCTTCAGTAGCTTCATTATTTTTGTTATGTTTATATTATAACCATATTTTAGATTTTTAGTGTATCACACCTTATAATGTGTTTATAGAAATGTTTGGCGAAAAATGTATGGCAATAGACTTTATGATGTCGCCTACCAACTAAAATACTTGTCTTAGCACATTTGCATGTAGTGAAAATGATAATATAGTTGTGCATATTAATACCACAGTGTAATTAAAAAAAATGTTTTACTTTATCGATCTTTACAAAATACATTCGTTTTGATGTTATATAAACAACTTCGATCAGTCTTTGGCTGAATCTATTTGGTTACTACACCCATAGCCGTTTAAAAATGATTCGTATGTTTTCCAAACCGCTAAAATTAAAAGTCCTTTTTAAAATGAATATATTATACAAAGGTGTCCGTTAAAATCTAATGACTGTAAAATTAAGTATAAATTACGCCAAGTATTACCGCATCTGTCAATATTTTTTGTACATTTGGGCCAATTTGAGCAATCTCCTTTGTAAATAACATAGATACATATTAAGGAATTGTTAGCCGTTTTAAGAACGTAGATCATAAAAGTAGTTTTATTTGAATAAATTTATGTCTATTAAAATTGTAAGGGTTTCATAATTGCTCAATTAGCCTGTTAAGGAAGAGAAATTTTTCGAAAAAAATATTCAAGAAAAATTTGTTTACTGGAAATATAACCTAAATCGTTGTTTGAATTAGCTGGTAATGTTTCTCAAGTGACTCAAAATTTTCGGTGTAAAAAAGCTACGTTAATTTCATGCAAAGTCCATCCTCACTGGTAACCTCATCCTGATAAACTATTGTTCCATTATCCTTTGGACTTAAACATATCCTTTGAGAAGATCTACTGTCACTCACTCGTACCAAGTTATTAAATTTCATTTCAGCTTTGTGGCATTTCAGATAGAAACTTGAAAGTATTGGTAGTTTTTAGAGATTTAAAACTTACCTTAGTAAGCATATTTACGTCTTAGCTTAGATATAGGGAGTATTACTGACCCTATTTTAAAAATTCTTGTACATGCTAATATTTGGAATGGACTTCCTGGATTGACGTAGACTACATAATTATGCTGTTAAAAGGTAAAAGTCTACACCTGCAAAACCGGGTAAGCTAGTCAAATAGAAAGATTTCAGTAATTTTATTGCCGTGATTTGCTTTTTTGTAATTGCTTTGATTTGAATACTGCTACAAGCGTGCAGCGGCCAGTGATGGGATGATTATGTCTTGTTACCAGTGCAATGTTTTACCCTTTCGATTTTCTGGAGTGCTTAAAACGATAAATGTGGTCTTTCTTTAATTTTTCGGTTCCAGTTTTGACAAAGAGCATTCGAACACTGCGTTCCTCCATAAGCTCAGGGGAACAGTCTACGGTATGTCAGAGGGAGAGGACATGCTAGACAGAGAGGCAGCGTTCTATGCCACTGTGCTTACACCGGTTGTATTCCTTCAACAGTACAGAGACACGTGGTGCCTTTTGGAAAGGGTAGGTACTTGACCAAGTTTGATGTCAATCTTCAATTGACAACACTATGAAATAAACAGAGAGAAAAAATCAGTCCTTCCTGAGTTTCTTGCCGGTTCTTCTTAGTACAAAGTCCATGAATGATTTGTGAACCGATGGCGTAGCTTTCGACTTTCTTATGTGCTTTGTAAAAGCTTAAACTAAATAAATGAATTTGTGGTGTTTGAGTTTGACTTATTATCAATCCAGTCTGGAAAGTATAAAAATCAATTAAGCGGTAATAATTAGTTACCTCCACACGGGATAAATTACAATAAACCACTTTTCACAAATATTTAAGATTGCCCATCACATTATTTTATGCATTTCGTCCCACATAAAACAATACCAATAAGAAGACTGGATAAAAAAAAGGTTTTATTTTACAGTTCCATAGAGCGATTCGGTTGTACCAAATTTCACATCCAACAGAGAAGCGATCCGCCTTAAAAATATTACAAAACCTGAGATCAGTTACTCAAAAGGTAAGTAATTTAGTGTTTTTATACATTAATACCAACATTAATACCTCACCCGATTTAAATTTAGAGCTAAGTCCAGTTACGCAGTTAGTGTTATTTCAGAAAAAACGTGCTTTACGTCTACCTTCAGACAGCACTTGTCACTCGGCAAAACCCATTTTTTATCTTAAAAGGCTGGCAAACAAGCGCGTGGCCCTACTGATGGCAAGCGGCAACCATAGCCAATAGACGTTTGCGATACCAAAAATATCACTCGCACCGTTGCCTACCCTGATCCAATCCCCTACCCCGTGGAGCTCTGGAACCTTACTCTCTCTCTCTCTTAGAATTCTCAGAGTTCCCTTTATTAACATCCTTTACACTACAGATACATCAGATCTCAGTTATTTGGCTACAGTCTTTTGTAAAATTGGGCATACTTGCCCTGACGAGCGCTCCTATTTTAAGAAAATCTTAAAGTTAAAAGCAAGCCTGATTAACCACTGTCCCAACAAACAACCTTTGAAGCCTGAGTTCCCTTCTTCTTCAGATCCGTTCCTTTGTTTACGACTTGCCGGGACCCTCGACCCGACCTACAACTACTGCGTCTGATGTGGATGAAGAAGACCTACACGACAAGAAAGATATCACGTACTTAAAAGAGCTCATTAAAAATCTTGGCTGAAACATTTCCAAGCATAATTTATGCATTGCCTAGTAAATTACTGCACCCTACCAGATGTCGATGTCGCAAAGATAGTAGATGTAGTAGAAAAATGTGCCCCCCTTGCCTAACCTAACCTAACCAGCCTTGGGAACATGAACCCGCTTCCTTACCCCGTGGAGCTCTAGAATATAACTCATTAACAGAAACAGGTTTTACGTTTAAAACCCACTTCTTGATTTGGGAGCCTCTGCATTATTTTATGACCATTTCTGGTATTGACCACTTCTGTATAAGACTACCTCGTAATATGACTGCTTCTGGATTCGACAATTTTGAATTTCGTCTATTTTCAAAAGGATAAAAATGATGTCGGTCTGTTGTCTCCCTTGACGGCTCCCGTAGGGGAGACATCAGGACTTTTACAATGTATATTAAGTACCCGTATATCCCTTTGGCAAATCAACATTAAAACCATAATCATTAAATTTATTATAAAAAAATTATAAAAAAAAAATCTTATAAAAATAGATCTAATAATTAGTCTGTGGTTGTGGCGTTGTGGTTGTGGTTATATTTAATTTTCCACTCTCCCCTCAAGGGAACAGCCGAGCGTACACAGGAAAATAAGCGATAAATACTTATTTATTTTCAAGTGCCCAGTATGGCTAAACATGATAGAGCTGTTAGCTGAGCAGATATACCAGAACTCCGAATAACCAATTTTAAAAGATGGTCCTGATGCCTCCCCAACCTAGGGGCGAGATCAGTACCTTAGCTGATGTCTCCCCTGAGTGGCCGTCAGGGAAGACAACGGACCGTCATCTAAAAATTTGATGGCGAAAACAGAAAATTTTTACTAGAAAAAAATCCACGCGGCTCAGGTAGTAGACAGAGCAGAGGGACACGAAAAATCGAACACGCATCGATTTTTTTCTAGTAAAAATTTGTGTAGATTTAAACATCAAGCAGATAAAATCTTAAATTAAAATAAACATTGTTTTACCTCAATAGTTCGATTATTCTGCTAAAACAACCGGGAATACAAATTATTATGGCACTTGACAAAGTAAAGAGTGACAATAAGATAGACCAACATGAACAATATCAAGACGCCCAGTAGAATCAGGAGTAACTCGTCGTCACAAGGCTGGAAGTAGTTCCTGCTTCTCAAGAAGCATTCTCGTGGCACGTCCAGAGGTAGTTTGTCGTAAATTTTTGCGAATTTCAACTCTTTTACTACTTTGGTATTTTCAATTTCCATGGTGGCGACGACACGTAAATCTTGCTCATGAAACTTTCGAATGATGTAAACTATGGTTTTGTACGGTGCACTGTCCTTGGTTTTGGATGCAAACCACCTGCAAGTAATAAACAGAGTTATTTACATAATCATCACCAGCCTATTCATGCCCCTACTGCTTGGACACTGGCCTTCCATATAGGTGGAATAGGGAGATTTGACCATGCTAACGACTGCCGATGCAACCGAGAACAACGGCTTAACGTGCCTTCTGAAGCACTGAGGAGGTCGAGATAATAACTTTTGGCCACCCATCCACCACCAGCACCACGCAATGGCTACCCAATGGCTATTGTGAAAGTTACTTAACTTTCATGATCACAGGTTGAAGAGAGAGTTATTTTGTCGTGCTGCATTGCGAGTGAGTAGTTATGTGCTATTCTGGGAAAAATGGTTTATTTTTTTATAGTATTCTCGGGAACATTCCCAAATGCTATTGTTTACGATATTATATTTCTTAATTTTGTAAAAGTGCGTTAATTACGAAAATTTTGTAAATGTTTATGACTAAGTCCGTGAACATCTAAGAACGGCCATACACGGACTGCTCGAGCAATTAGCTAGTGATTAACTCGGACTGCTTAAGCAGTCAGAGTCAACAGCTTGAACCTGCCATTTCACCGTGCGGCCAACCGCCCGAAGCAGTCAAACTGCTCGATCGGTTCCATGTATGTCAGCATGATAGGGGATACGATCCCGATCCTTATTCCTAGTCCCGGAATTTCTGCATTACATTTAGCCAATCCCAGGATCCCGGGATTAGTTCAGGATTGAGAGTTTTAAAGAAAAAAAATCTTATAAAAAATATCTCTAATAATTTTTTACAAAGATTTATGTGGTTTCCAGTGTTTGTATAAATAATTAATACCTAGTCAGGTCATAAATTCTGTCACATGTTTAATATAAAATAATTGAAACAAGTTTATTCATTATGTAACCATTTATATACCAAAATGAACTTAAGAAAACAGATTCTTATGACAATAAAGTTTATTCAACATGACCTCCGTGATTTTGAATACAGGCCTTCAATCTGCGCGGCCAGTCGTCCATCGCAGCACGAACGAGGTCCATGTCAATATCGGCGGCTGCCTTAATCAAGGATGTCTTGAGTGACTCCAAATTGGGATGAGGCTTTGAGCACGCCTTTTCCTCCAAGTGTTGCCATATCTTGTAATCTAACCGACTCAAATCTGGACCGGGGGAGGGCCGGTCTTCGTGCCGGATGAAGTCGATTTCACGCGCCGCCAGCCAGTCTTGTGTGCTCTTCGCTCTATGAGCTGGCGCCGAATCTTGTTGGAATACCCAGTGCCTGTTATTGAATATGGTACGAGAAACTGGCTCCAGAAGGTTCGTCAGGATTGTATTCTGATACACAACTGCATTTGTTTTTACACTTTTCTCACAAAAATGTACCTCTGTTAAGCCCCAATAAGAAACTGCCAACCATACCATGAGCGAGGATGGAAAATGACCTCGTTGGACACGCGGAATACGGTTGATCGCTTCTTCACTACTGTGTGCGTACACCTTATCATTATGTTTGTTGTAGCTCTCTTCTACGGTAAATTTTTTTTCATCCAAAAAAAGAATTTCCTGATATTTTTTTCCCGCGTACCGCTTCAACAAAGCGCGGCATCTCTTCAGTCTCAGGTCCATTACACACCCTTTTCACCGTGGTTCTGCTTAACCCCATCTGAAGGGCCAACAGTTTCTGCTTACGTTTGGGATTTCTTTGAATTCGTGCCTTCACAGCTTTTATCACTGCTGGAGTCCTAACAGACCGAGGGCGACCACTTTTTGACCTGGCATCTACACTAGAGTCTTCATCGTATCGTTTGATGGTACGATAAACGAATCTTTTGGCTATATTCAAATTTTTCAGTATTTCAAAAATTTGAATTGGCACGTAACCGCAACGATAACTGCAACACGGTATTCTTTAAGCGTCCACTCCATGTTTAAAAATGAGCAAAATTCTAAAAAGTATATATTTTTATTTTCATGAACAATCCGAAATTCGAATTCAATAAACTTTTTTGTGGCCAGCATTCTGAAAGAAAAGTTTTTACTGTGTGACAATACTTATGACCTGACTGTATATAATCACTCTTCTCTAAGTTTCAATTTATCAGATAACGTACATAGAAGACTGTAGTTTACAATGCAGTCGCAACTTGAAGCAGTCCATCCCGACTAATTCAAGCTGTTCACGTATTTACTCTCTAATATTCTTGGTAACCAAAGTTGATAACGAACGATAAAAACTAATACTTACTTGGTAAACTTTTCTCTGTCGCCTAAAGCGTCTTTGTACGATGTGGTAATGAGTTCCAGACTCCTCCTAATCACGCTTACGTATGGAGAATGTAAGTCGTTATAACTCGGAGCTACGCCGAAAACAGAAGACTGGGTGAACGAGAAGAGATCAACCATGCTGTGAAACTGAAAGGATTACTCATTTGACTACACTACTAAGACGATCGCTTAGAGACAAGTTAGAAATTATGCAAGTCACCCACCTAGCCGCATCGCTTGAAGTATGACCAACTACCATTACATGTTTGTTCATTTTATTATACGTAGTTTCAAAAGTCAACTTCCAGTAACAAGAAATGATAAGCTGATTCCGTTTCTCAGCAACGATTGTAATTATAATCTAAACAATAAAAATATCTTGGCAACAAAGCTCTGGTAGGCTTACCTATTACTAGAGCGTTCCAGATATTGAGTACTCACCAGAGCTAATAAATGGTGAAAAAGCATAGGCCTCAGTCACCTATTTAAATTATGTCGCTTTTACTGCTTAATGTGACATACTCAGATTACAGAAAAAAAGGCAGGCGGAGCGCATGGAACACGCAAGTGCAACAATCAAAGCAAATTAGAAGTCAAAAGTAAAGACATTTTTTGTCTTTGTGAACAGTTTTTACAATGTTTGAACAAGACGGCACAGTTTTGATAAAAACTTAATATCCATGGGAAGTATTCACAATACAATGCGTTGTAGTGTACTGAAGCGAATTGATATTAGCTTTTGACTTCGTATTTGCTATGGTGCCACGCATTGCGTGTACCGTGCGCTCCCGCTTTTCGCCGGCTCTCTGTAATCTGTTAGATGAAGGAGAGCTTTATTATTGTTTCTTTCACAATAATAGCTAGTTCTATGCAGTTGCTTAGCATAAAGCTTCGCTTGCTCAATGGTAGGCGTGCTCAGGGGTAATAATAGAGGGTATGAGTAGCTACAAGTATTTATAATGCGGTCCAAGTCACACGTAACAGACTACACGTATCTATATGGGTACGCGCTGTCCATACGAACCTTAAAGGCGGGTACAGACCGCTGCAACGCAACATGCAATGTAACATGAAAGGAGCATTTCATAAGTGTGGACGCAGCGCGCGCACGAACAGAGCATGTACGTACTTGCATGCGCGCGGAAAACGCTCAGTCTGCCGATAACAAGCGAAGAGAATGGATCATGACGACCAATTACTGGCTACGATGATTGTCGGTGCTTCATTGATTATCATCAATCATGTGTAGGCATAATTCAAGTGTAGGCTCTGCCGTAGCTGTGTTTTCTTCCATGGTTCGCGCGCGTTCCGCAGTACAGACACAGACAACCCGTCCACACGGGCGCTCCGTGCACACTGCGCGCCCCTTTGTGTTCGGCGAAAAAACCGACAAATGGCGGATCGCGGCGCGCACGAGTTGAAATGCTCTGTTCGTGCGCGTATTGTGCACGGTTCGCGCGCGCAAGGCGTCCACACTATGGGAAATCTGTTAGATTGCATGATACATTGCGACAATGTGGACGGCAAATTCTTTCAATGCGTGTTACATTGCATCTTACGTTACATCAGTCTGTACCCGCCTTAAGCTTAATGGCGCGTCGATAAAGCGGCTTACATGTGTAAGAGAGCTAAGCCAACAGATTTTACAGTGTTGGGTGTACTAACTCAGTTCTTCAAAGTGTGTGGGTGCATGGCGCAGTTCTGACACTGCCCTCAAGTTGACAATTAAGCAGACTAGCTATGGTAGATGCAGATGAACCGCGTGCTCAATATAGCTCAATTTTTATTTAGATAGATTTTGGTTACAGGAAAGGCCTGTGCCCTAAGAGCAGGGCTGTATTTAAGGCAGCGTAAGAGGGGCTGTGGCCCAATGCTCACTTTATCGATGTTGTGATGAGGCCCTCACAACAAAATACAATTACATATATTTCAAGTTATATAACTATTTTGTTACAGTTCATATTTCTATCTATAAAAAACTATATCAATCTTAATCGTTGATGAGTTATTTACTCTTGGAACCCCCTCTTCCGACGTCTGCCGTCTACTTTTTTTAACATAGCTAATATAAAGTGTTATATCGTTATTTCAAAGAAGGCTCGTTCAATTTTAATATTATTTGATGTTTAATATGAAGATTAAAGACTGCTGATTATAATAAACGGGTTAATTGTATATTATAGGGAGCATACAAACAGACGGCTCACCAGTAGGCCTATTAGATAACTGCTTTTGCCAATAAGATACTTGTTCTAAAAAGCATCGATGGATGTGCAATTTTCTCTTATTCAGTTGGACACTGTTTCATAGGTCGTTGCCCCTATCTATTATCTAGCGAAACCATAGCCAAGGGAACCGGCTTGGGACAATCAGCGGGAAAAGAAGACCCTGTTGAGCTTGACTCTAGTCTGGCATTGTAAGGAAACATGAGAAGTGTAGCATAAGTGGGATTGGAAACTGTTTCAAAAAACTTTTTGAATAGGCCGGCTGATGGTAAGTGATTACCGTCGTCCATAGAAACCTGCATCACAACGAGTATAACAAACACGATGCCGACTTTTAAGGAAGGAGAACGTTCTTTTTTTGGAGGTTTACGGATCGTATTGGTCTGGAAACACTGCTGGCGACAATATATTCCACAGTTTTATCGTTTAAATAAAATGTATTTTTTGTTATTACATTGACTTTCACTTAAGCTCTACTGGCATGATAAAATAATTTATATGGAGCCAGCTGTGATATCGTACCAGGTACACTGTAAAAGTTTTATCTACAAACCTTTTCATCTTTGTCGAATGGCCATCCGCGTACAATCCACTTTATTTTTGTCTTTCGATTTTTGTCGAGAAACGTCATATAATTTAGAAATTGCCTTCCATTTTTAGAGTTTAAGTTTAGAATCACGATCTTCATATCTGTAAGCCTTTTATTTGCCTAAAAATAAAATTAACTTTATAGGTCGTTTTCATGAATGGAAGGCTGTGAAACGATTTGTCATCACTCTTAATACTCACACCAATAAAGTCACAATTCCGTCCAATACAATTGCATATTTCACTTGAATAAGTTATATCATTTTCATCAAGAAACGGTGTTAGATCCTCTAAAAATTCAACGCTATCTTCAGCGTCATCCGATAGCACGGCTACTCTGTACCAATTCATGGACTTCAGAAACTGAAGAATTGCATACTTGAGATGTTTCCAGGGTATCATTAGGTTTGCCATATTAGGCAATTGGTCCTTGGCTTCAGGATAAAGATGTGGTGTGTTGTAGATTATAGTCGGAGTATTTGTTTCCAAATCGTAGGGCGAAGGCGTAACGATCGCTAGTAGAGAAGAGTTGATATCTTTGAGAGTCTCACAGTTGTATTGAAAAAGAACAGCTAAGTTTGGGTTCAATTCTTTTAGTTCGCCTTGGATATTGTCAGTCTCGGGAAGGTTATTAGGTAGACAAACAAGAACATTATTCAACACTTCGAAATTGTTATTAGCAATAGCGTTGTAGAGGATGCCGTATTCTAAAATGGAGTCTGTAGTGATGGCTAATGGCTTAGTGTTGTTGAGTGGGCATTCCATTATGATTTCGCTAAAGCAAATAATATTCATGTCATTCGCTGAGTTACATATATTGCAATACTCTGTGTCTGTTACGCTCAAGTTGATAGTGATAGTTCTGGAAATGAGATTTTTGAATTATACTAACATTCTATGCATTCATAGTATATGGACTAGGTGGTGTGGCATATTTATTAATTTTTAGGTAATATAAATCATACTTACGAAGAATCTTTATTTTGAAGATCACGATGATATAAATTCTGATTTTCAATTTCACTTTCGATTATCTCAAATCCCAATTTTTTGGCCATATTCAGAAATTTCATATTTAATTTTTTATGTGTCTCGTTTGTGGCACTTGCTAGAATGATGAATGGACCTTCGGTAAGAATGCTGGGTTTTTCTGAAATAAGATAAAAAACAAATTAAGAGCTTCCGCCAAAGTTTTCATATTAGGCTCGGATATAATAACATTATTTCAACTCTTAAGTGGAGTTCAGTGGCGTAGGTAGCTGATACGGCAGAAAAATGTGCTACACCAGACATTATTTTCTTAACCCCTGCCACGTGGAGCCCTGGACCCTTGCTAACTGATAGAAACACAACCTCATCAAAGTAGTGATGAGTCTCCCTCTCATGAGGCACCTCGTTTGAGTTCCTCATCGCGACAAAATAAAGGATTACTCGTATTTAAACTTTGAATCAACTCATTTACCTACTCATTTTTGCCGAGGCGAGGCGCGAGCACATGTATAGTACTAAGGAACATCCTGGAGGGGGAGTTCATTTCGTAATTTAATTCCACGGAATAAAAGATCTCGGACAACGAACAGTTGTGGACTTCAGTGTACCCAGGTAATATGGGTGAACTCGACCCCGGTGACGAGTGGTATGGTAAAATGATGCTTTGGGTATTAATTGGAGCAATTCCTCGGAGTGCTCACCATAAAAGAGCCTGTAGAATACGCAATAGGCAACCAAAGTCCCTGTGCAGTTCTAAAGGCTCCAGATTTTCCGCTGGCTTGAAATCCAAGACAATCCGAATCACGCGTCTTTGTATGAATCGAGAGGATCCAACTGGTATTTGGGAGCTTCAGCCCAGAGATATGATCAGTAAGTCATCGTCAGTAACTCGTGGGAACTTATTTACGCTTTGTAAAGCAGAAGCCTTTGTTTAAACGTGAAGTACCTACTGCTTGGAATTATTGGAGACGTAGCTTCCCCATCGTCCAAGGACGAGTTGGAGGTGAAGAGTTTGACCAGTAGGTCGGCCGTGTCCTTCGCACTGACGGCTAAAGCACAATCAGGTTTACATAGGGACGAAATGAAGACCCGGCCAAAATGCATGGTTCCCGGAGGGAAAACTATTCAGCTTCTGGTCTATTGTGCTAAAATGTCGATCCTTAGCTTTCTCCTTTTGCTCCCTCTTGCCTTCTTTCGGGACCCCGACGGACCTTAAATTTTTACTTTTCCTTTTTTTAAATTCGGAGCGTCAGGCTCCGTATTTTAGCAGAATGGCATGAATTATATGCCGACTATTGCAGACTTTTTAACACGCGCAGCATGGTCTACACTGACCTAATTGAACAAAAGGGCGGCAGCGGCCCCCGACTGTTATGCTATGGTCGAGAATGAATAAATCATCCCCATAATTACCATGTCATTTACACAATCGGCACACGTGTCAAGGTCATTTTAGAAAAAGCAGAGCCACTTCCTCCGGTAGGACGCAAAGAATTCACAAAGACTATCCCAATATGCCAATTTATATTGCCAGACTCCGCTAGAACCATTAGCTGGTGAGCTTATGGGTCACGCAACGGGGACTGTAAAACAAATCAGGCTATGATGACGATCCTAATAGGACATCATACCTCACTTGTTGTCGGTCTGGTTGTGTCGTCCGCAGGATTTCTTTATTTATCAGGGAGAAATGCGTAACGCATACACTGCCACTGGGTAAGGCGACTAGGTTATGTGGGACTCTTCCACCACCTTCTGCCCACCCATTCAGCCAACCCTAAGACTGGCTCAATGGCTGCACGGGATGGGGGGCCCACTAAAATTGCGGGATGTCCCCTTGCCGGTGACGATGACGTGGGCTACTTGTTAGGAAGCGACTATACCATCCCGGCGGTCCCTCAGAAGTATAAAACTTTTCTGGGATAAAAATTTCCTGTCTCAATCCAGGTAATAAAATATGGGCTTACCAAATTTCATCCAAATTCGTTCAGTAGTTATTGCGTGATTGAGTTGCAAACATACAAACTTTCACATTTATAACCGTATTACCTCCTTAGGGGTGGAGTTTCGTGATAATATGTAGCCTATATGTTAATCCGACTTCTTAATAACATTCGTGCCAAATTTGAAGTAAATCCATGCAGCACTTTTTGAGTTTATGCCGGACATACATACAGACAAAAATCCAAAAAACTATATTTTTGGCTTCGGTATCGATTGTAGATCACACCCCACTATTCTTTAAAAAAAATATTCTATGTACAGTTTTGACTTTCCTACTATTTTATTATATGTGTATGTATAGATAGTAGTATGCTTAAACTACAGTTTTATACATCGGGGTATATCATGCTGTATATATGTATATCAATAACATCGAATACGACCACTGAAGATGGACTGATGAAAAGTAATTTTCTTGTAGAATCCTACGGTTGAATCTGTAGTAAAAGGTTCGATTGAAGAATAATGGTTATTCCGACTAATCGTTTTTTCTTCTTTAAATTACATATGTTATAATCAGTCGACGAGTCCTCCTTTTGGGTTTAAGATAAAACTTGTGTTAGGTTACTCTGAGTATCTAATTTTCTAGAATGCTATTTACACAATTATCGCTTTCATATTTTTTTTATTTAAGTTAATAAAATATATAGCAAAAACATAAAATGTTATCAGTAATGAAAATACTTAAATAATTAGACAAAATTCACAATCACAATAGCTAATATAGATACTTTTTTTTTTATTTTTTTTTTATATGTATGTGTTGTGTGTGTGTGTGTCGTTTTCCGGCCAGCAACTAAGAGAGGATATACTGACCTTATCGTATGTGGTAATGGTAAAAAAAATATAGTAAATGTGAAAATAAAAAAACAAGTAAAACATTACCAGCGAAGAGTTTGTCGCACAAGAATAATATCACAAAGACAATTAAAATTGTTTGCTTCATCGTGCATAAATTCAATACAACTGTTTAATTCCTGTAACAAACTGTGCTACTCAAGAAATATCCTGTTCATTTATTTTCCTGTTCGCTGCAGTATGAGTTAAAGTGGTGGGACCGTTAATGCGATTATTAAATTTTGATTGTATTTTTAACAATCACATAGTTTCATCTCATCATCTGTTATTTTAAAATATATACGGTAAATATGTTGATATAGCAAAGATGCCAATTAAAATATTGATATTCCCATAAAAAATTAAATATAAATACTACAATTCAGGTATTGAATAACATAAATTTTTATTGCAAAATCAATATTATTAAGGAAAAACTTTCAAGCCGACAAGGCAAGAAAAAATGGTTGTTTTACTAAAAGCTTGACATAGAGCAATACGACCGACCGCGATGCGGCCAGGAGAGAAGTAGGCATACACAGCTTTCGCCTTTCTTGAGTTGGGCATACAAACGATATATATGTGTAAGATTTGGCGAATAATTGTGTCATTGCTTATGTGTTCCGTACCTCAATCGGCCAAAATAGAACCCTTATATGATAACTTGGTTGTCTGTCTAGCACAGTCGATTTTTCAGAATTTACCGGACCGATGAAGTTGAGATTTGCAACATAATGTATGTCTGTGACTCAAGCACGGACAAATAAGGTAAATAAATAAACTCTCATACCCCCTTATTAATAAACCAAGAATAAGCTTAGATAAGTTACTTCTTGTTTTGTCTCTGTTCATTGAATGACAAATAGCACTTGAGTGATATGAAAAAAACACGCCGTAACTAGTCTATGCTTATTCCTCGTTTATTAATAAGAGGGATAGAGTTACTGTTGGGGGAGTGAATTAGAATAAAAAGTTAGATAACTGAGCCATGTTATATATGAAATAAAAGGGCTCGATGTGAAGGTTTCAAAAATATATTTTTACAAATGTAAAATGATTGGTTAAAAAATATTTAAGTAAACTGATGAAATTGACCTGGCCACCCCTTATCTCCAAAACTTGTGCGACAAATCTCGAAAATTTGAAAACAATATAGCATATAGCTTTTTGCTTGTAGATTACAGGAAAAAAGATTAAGATGTTTATAGCAATTAAAATATATATTTAAGGGGGCTTCCATACAACAGACGTGATTTTTTGGCGATTTGCTCGATATTTTATTAAAATGTCTATTGTTGTGTAGACTCGCACTTGGCCAGTTATTTTTATTATCAGATAAAAGCGATGAGGATGTTTTGCATTTATTTTGCTAAGTGAATCCGTGAGCGTCACTATAAGTATAGTACTTACATATTTTAAGGTTTGACTAATTAATTAATTCAAAATCAACGTTTGTGATTATAGTGTTTCGCCGTAACATATACCAAAATGAAAGTAAAAATGGAGTGCCTGTCCGTCCTTGTTATTAATATTATAATTTCGCTTTCATCTAACACTACCCCCATTTTTTCCAGCCGGGAATATGTACGAGCAAGCGCGCAAAATTACGTATTCGCCCGTTCGCAATTATGAACTCATCAAGTCGCTCGTACTCATAACAATTATTATTTTATAGTTATTTTAGTCCTTTCATACCTTTTCCCAGTTTATCATTTATTAGTTCAAACCAGAACAATCGCTTTAGCACGTTTCTCAACTAAATTCTATTTTCGCTTAGCTTATTATTAAGTAATTGCTAAAACTTGAGATTTAAAATGGTCCCGATGATATTTTCCACAACTTCACCTACGTACTGGTGTTCGAACCACTCTCGCTAGAAGAACGAACATTTGCGCTAAAAGGATAATTTAATTTCTAATTTGTCAATAATTTCAATATTTGTATTTCCTCGTTTATATATTTGCTGACTAGATTATTTAAATATAAAATTAAAGCTAATGTATCTAAAATCATGAAACATTTGATATAAAAACCACTCGGTCTGTTCGTTGAGTTCGGTCGTATGGCGGGTCTGCAATTTAATTGATGATCATCGTTTTGTGACTGATTCCACCCACAACCACTTTTTTTGTTGGAAGGAGTGAAATGCAGCTAAGGAGGTCATATATAGTAATAGTATAGTAGCCTAGGGCTGGACAATGATCGGTCCACAAATTCGCTGAGAAATGAAGAACGAAAATTTCGACCATAAATTAAACTCCAGAGAACTATATAACCTATGTTCATAATAAAATTAAAAGCTTTGTAGAACTGTACGTGAATAATTTGTTAAATGCAAATAAAAAGAAGCATTACTGGATGACATTAAAATTTCTTCCAATTCCCATATCTGTATTTCCATTTAAATCTTGGAGGTATGAGTGATGAACAAGAAAAACAGTTTCAACATTATCTAAAACAGCTTGAAGAACGATTTCCAGGTCGTTGGGAACTATGTTAGGAGATTACTACTGGATGGCGGTTAAAACGGGAAGATACTTCCCAACATAAACTAAAAAGTTAAATGAAAACGGGCCTCACATCTATGGGACATGTACCCGCTAATCAATAAAGAACAGACTGATGTATGTCGTTAGATAGAACTTTATTATGACTATCATTTGTCAAGTCCCGATATGTTGTGGGACAAAGGTTGTAGCCAAAAAATAACAGAGATAAAAGACTTTTTTATAGATATCAATAAGCTATTATGTAATATGTATATCTTGTAAATAGTTTTAAGAAATGTGTAAACAAACACTGGTAAACCATATAATAAATAAATAAATAAAAATAAATAAATGTATATATTTTACAATGAATTGAGACTAGCCCAATAGTACTGAATAATGATCTCGGATAGAGCTTTTCGATGACAACAAACTTTAATAGTTTTTGCGTCCTCATTTTCCATTTTTTTTGTGTACAATAATATTATATGATTTGCAATAATTTTCGTATTTCAATGGGTACATATATATTATGGACCAATTTTGTCGTCAGTTTTATCTGGAATGTTTGTTACTGGACGTGTAATCTGTATTCTCTTATATGGTACCTTATATTTTTTATGTCTGTAAAGAATAAAGATTCAAAAACTACTTAATCGATTACAAATGTTCTTTCACGATTAGAAAGCTACATTATTTCCAATTGACATAGGCTATATACGCATCTGGTCAAACTACTTTTACGGTCCGGAGGTTTCGGGCCCGTTGAATTTGAATCTCAAATAATGTTCAATCAAAAACGAGTAAACCAGTGTTAAAATTACTAAATTTATAAATTAAAGCTCACTGAATGTATGTCATGCAGTTTTATACAGCTCCCATAATTTTTATTTCTTGTTAAAACTTCTTTAGAATCGTTGTACACTTTTTTTGTAATGGGTAAAAAATGTTAAACTTGCGTCAGGACACGTGGCCTGATCGAAAATTCGTAAGACGAAAGCAATAAAATTGGAAACGTTGTTGACTTTCAATATATTGGACGAACATAGTAATATTTTATTTTATTGTATTATAATAATAAGTCTCTAACTAGGACGTCAAGGTAGCAGTTTTATTGCGAAGAAAATGCATTTTTTTTACAATAGATGTCGCTAGGTGCGCTTAAATGTGATTCATATAAGTTTTTTTTTCTGAGAGATAAACTTTTTAATGTAATGTAATTGTCATGTTTGTGTACGATAGCGCAATAAATAAATATTGTATTCTACCACATTAATGATAGTACTTTTATACTGATAATTAAAGCAATTCGTGCAAAATTATTCCCTTACCATTCCAAAATATCAAAAATGCACAACGGTAATATTCAAGTTTTCACTTCTGCTGGCACTCCCGGAGTGTAACACGTCGTTTTTTTAAATGTAATTATGTATCGCCTAATATATCTAATATATATAATTGAATTGTTGCCGTACCTAAAAACAACACCCAATAAAAACATATGGACATATGTTATCTTGTTAAGCAATATGCATGAATATATAAACAGGAAAAAATAAATTGGATACCTACTAAATTTAATTATTCTTTAATTTGTAACACAAATATTGAATTTAATATTTATATTTAATTGCTTTCGGGACAAAATAAAACACAAATTTAATTACTCTTTAAGGTTGGATACATCTTTATTTATAAATTCAATTATAAAATCAATCATAGTTCAAAATGAAAAGCCTGGTCGTTGGGGTTTTATATAAAAACGTATATTTAAATAACAATAATAATATTATAATTTATCATCTATTTCACGAGAAACGTTTGTATTTATATAGTTTGGAAAATAAATGAATAGATATTTATATATGTAAATCTAGGGTTATTGGTAAGATTTGTTGGAGAGATCCTTGTATGGGATACTTATACCCCCTTAATAATAAACGAGGATTAAGCTTAGACTAGTTTCGGCTTATTTTGTTCATATCACTCAAATGCCTTTAGTCATTCGATAAACAGAGACAAAACATGGAGTAACTAATCCAAGCTTATACTACGATTATTAATAAGGGGAATTGTGTTCTTATACATTTCCTTACTCATTTAACGGCCCACGTAGCATGTTATGTTTCGACGATCCCAAGCTTAAAATAAATGTTAGCAAAAAGTTTTTACGCAGTTTGAAGCTGATTTACTTTACTACCCATCCTTTTTGTGTTATAAAAAAATAAGTTTTTTTATGTAGTCAGGTAGGCAAATGAATCTACCCCACCTGATGTTAAGTGGTGATAAAGTCCAAACGCGAAGATAGCTCGTACAGCAGTTATAAACTGCTACATCAACCATCCTCACCTTGCCGGCCTGCAAAATGCTTCTTCACGCCTCTCATAAAGGACCCCAGATTGTAGGAAGGAGGGAACACATGCACGGGTAAAGTGTGTGTTACTATTGTTTAACCGAACATATATTTTTGCTATAGACTGTTGAAGCTTATAACACTTAGTAGGCCGATAGATGTGTCCGAAAGTATATTATATGATGGTATTATTACATGGTGAATGGTGGATGTTTACGCGTAGGTTTACAAAGGGACACTGCTTCCGGCGCGGAGCAGAGCTTGCTTGGCGCCGGCGGCAAGACCAGCGGGATTGCCACCATTGGCAACTACTTTCAGGAACTGAAAGAAACAGTTGGAATGGTGAATAACAAATTCCTGACAACTCATTACGAATTATTAAGCTTTAAACTAAGCAGAGCTTGGACTGTGGAAACATATGTGTGAATCAATGCTCATCGTACTAATTAATACCATTAGTACGATGAACAGTTTTTCACACACATTTTTTCCCTTATCATGATTTCATAGTTATGTCTCCATAGTCTAAGGGGCGTTAACCTTTAAAACAAAATATGTATGTTAACGTAGTTATAAATCATTTTGGAAGTACGTGTGGACGATTCGGTGTTGTTGCTTAGTTATCGGTTAGCATGTTATTATATTAATATGTGCAACAATGAAAATCAAAACTACATTGGTGCCTTAGTGCTGTCATTAAGAAATGTGAATTAATTGTTTTATAGTAATATAAGTTATTTACGGTATTGTTACCATGTACCTTGTTTTTAGCGACAGCATTTTAGTAACAATCCCGTAAATAACTTATATTACTATAATGTTAGTGATCATGAAAGTTTAAAATAATAAATTGTTTTATATTTCAACGTTATTTTAATGTGTACAGTCTTGATCTATATTATTATGTTGTTATATCATTTAAAAACGTTTGATCATCCTTAACGTAAACAAGTTACATAACGTGTTATATAACAACACCTTTATTCTTAATTTATCTACACCTTTATTTATTTTTAATATCGCAACGTTATTTTAACGTGGACAGTCTTCATTGATATATTGCAATGTCATTTAGCAATGTTTGATCATGTAGATAAGTTATGTAACGTGTTATACAACAATCTGGATACACCTTTTCCTATTAGTCGAAGGCTACGTTTCCACATGCAAGAAAACTTCTGCGCGAAAAATGTCCGACATGTCCAACCAATGACAAAGGTATTTCAATTGACATTACGGGTTACAATGCGAAGAGATGACGCAGTCTTGCAGCCTAAGAAATACTAGAGAAAATTCGACACGGCCATTAGGGCCGCGGTAGCATAATTGGTCAGTGCATCCGCCCGTATTGCGGAGGGTGCGGGTTTGAGTCCCGTTTGCTGCCTGACCCGCGTAGAATTTTCTAGTAAACATTTTCTTTAAGTTTCAGCATCTAGCAGTTAAATGCTTAAAAATATAATAAACCTTCTGTAAGTTGGGAGTAGAAATGGTGTATGAATTATAATTACCGGAACGACGGCGTTAAGGGCTTGGCCGACGGCCCGGGTGACCTGCGGCACAGCAGCAGCGGTCGCAGCAGCACCAACATTGTTGGTGCGGATGTTGAACGCACTATACAGCCGCTTGGAAGAGCAGTACTGTTCGTTCAGGAGTCTGGAATGTGATCAAATGAGTTATAGAAGTCTCTATCTATGCTTGCTGGCACAAGTGGTTACGCGTTCGGCTGCGATCGTTGAAGTTAAGCAACTTTCACAATGTTCGGTCATCGGATGGTTGTCCAAAAATATACTATCTTGAGCTCTCGCGTGCTTCAGAAGACACGTTAAGCGGTAGTTCCCAGCTGCATCTGCAGACGTCAGCACCCACCAATCCCGCTGGGCCCGCGTGGTGGGTCACGACCCAGTCTCTATTCCATCCACGGGGAAGGCCTGTACTCCAGCATTAGGGACATTAATATGATGATGATGATGATACACTTTAAGAGGTAAATCGGTTTAATACCCCACGGTATTTATGTTGGCACTATTGAGGACGGCATCCCAAACTGCTTCGAATTCGTATCTTCTGCCGCCTCCGGCGCAGTTGCCCCTTGGTCCGACCTGCAAGAAGAATTGAAATGTTACTTTTGTAATGTTATGAGTTACTAGTGGCGGGTTTTTGTAGGTGTGATGGTTTAATCCCATTGACTGTGATCACAATATATGAATTTCTAGTGCTAGAACTGCCCAGCTAGGTCCTTCAGTAGCCTAAAGCTTTTCCGGGATAAAAAGTATGCTATGGCTCTCTCTAGGTAGCTCATAACAGGAAGAGACATAGGATACATTTTTACTGCAGTCTGTGTGCAAAATTTCATCTAAATCCGTTTAGCCGTTTTTGCGTGATTGAGTAACATACAAACAAGCTTTTAAATTTACAATATTAGCAGGTAGTCGGACAGCTCGTGTCACTGCCACAAAGTAAATGTCTGAGAGTTTTCATTGACACGGGAACTACAACTTTTGTCCGTTTCTTCAGCAAGACAATAGTCGGTAATTTCGACGGCGGTGGGACAGTGTCTAGCATATTTTTTATATAGATAGGTCCGACAAATGACTCCACCCCACCTGTTAAGTGATGGTGAAGTCCAGACATGAAGATAGCTGGTACAGCAGTTCTACCTGCCACACCAGCCATCTTGCCGGCCTGCATGTTGCATATTGACGCCTCTTTTGAAGAATCCCAGGTTGTAAGAAGGAGAGAACACGTGAGCAGGCAGAGCATTTCATTTACGGATAGTGCGACAAAGAAATGAGTTACCAAATTTCTTTGTACCCGTTGGAATTGGACCGAAGGCTAGCGCACGTGGTCCTCTGAAGGAAAGGGGAAGGTGGAATAAGAGAGAATAACTCCTCAGAACAATCGCATACGAGGTATTCTCCATACAGCTGTAACTACCTACCTGACATATACAGAGGCCCAAACCTAAGCACGATTTTTTGACAGCTCCGTGACGTATCGCAGCGTCAAAGTTTCATTCAATCAATCAATACTTTATTGCGTTCTAAAATGTTTTATTAGATCTTAGTAGGTACATTGCTTTGATCATTGTAGACCCTGAACCTATGTTTTTATGAAGACTAAGCAGAGCCCCTTTAGGACGTGAAACGTCTTTACGCACGCTTGACTTGGGAGGCAAGCTGGCGAATGCGTTACTCGTTACGAAAAGTGTGTTCGGGCAAGGCGAACGGGAGTTGAGTGGGGGATAGAAGCAAGAGAAAGCAGTGCGCGCGCACATTTTATTTCTCTCTTTCTCATATAGCGTGTACATAATATGTACATACATGTTTATATTGTACATATATATATATATATAAGTAATACAAATGGAGCTAAAGAAGTTTCACTTTAGTCGTGTGGTCATAAGCACACTTCAGCAATTTATATAAGTAGGTAACTGAAATCATGTACAACTATGATGATTAATGTGCAATATATACTATTACTATATGTTGCTCACGATTAATCTTCATCTGAGAAGTGCGCGAGAAAAATCATTAATATCAATATCAGTCAAAGACAGTGTTGCCAGATCGTACCGCTTTTCCCATTTTTCATCCGTCTTTTTGACAATGGATCCGCGTTCCGCTTTTAACCAACGTGGTTCCGCTGTTTCGAATCTACTAAAGCAAACTTTAAAAATCCTCACTCATAACCATTGTACTGTGGTGTTCTATCCTGAAGAGATAGGCCTGGGAGCGTAGCTCTACTACGGTTGCAAAATAATAATCACGACTTATTTTTGATTATTTTTATATTTTTGAATTGGTAGCGAATAACATAAAATATTTTCAGCCGTACCGTAACCGTATTATCAACTATTCGCTTTCGTGCCTGAATTCTATCTGCTGGAATCTTCGATAAAAGACAAAAGATTCCCAATTTGAAGTCTTTAAAATAATGACAGTTCCTTTTTTAATATAACTGGCAGCCGTAGGCATTACATGTGCAAAGAGTTTACACAAGCAAAGAGGCCGTAACGCAACGGGAGTTACAGTTCCATGCATTGCTTACTAAATTTACGGGCCAATAAAACAAGGAATACCTCTTTTATATTTGAAATCCGCGTGTTTGTACCCATCTTACCGCGTTTTTAATTTCCTCACCTGGCAACACTGGTCGAAGAATACCGGAAAGGTGATTTCAGCTAAAGGACTGAGTAGTTTTTAAAATAAAAAAAATACTGGAAAGGTTTAGAGCGGAGACAATGTTTGGGGTAATTTGTTTTGGACCGATGATGGATGATCGGACAGCGACTTGATTTATGAGCTGGATTGGTCCAAAGGCGAATGAAGGTAAGGGGACGCATCGCTAGCAGCCACAAACCTAGATTGGAGTAGACGCCACAAGTACTTCAAATTGTACCGAGCGTGTCAGATTTTGATTACTCACGAGAAAAAATAAGTTGTGAATAAATCATGATACCGGTCACCTATATCGTTTTTACAGCTTAATACAGATATAACGTAGTTAGATATTTTTGAAGTAAAATTTCTTTTCGGACGGGGTGTAAATGGAAAATAAATCCCACAGGATTTCCATAGAAAAGATGAAACGGAAATGCGTCACGAGCGTCACACGACTATATCTATTACATATAATAAAATTGTAGAAAAGTTTAAACTGTACATTGATTTTTTTTAAAGAGTACTTGGTGTGTGATCTACAAGCGATACCGAAGCCAAAAATATAGTTTTTCGAATTTTTGTCTGTTTGTCTGTATGTATGTCCGGTATAAACTCAAAAAGTACTGCATGGATTTACTTCAAATTTGGCACGAATATTATTAAGGAGTCGGGTCAACATTTCTAACTAACTCCACGCGTACGAAGTCGCGGGCGGCCGCTAGTATATTTATATGTATATCACAATATATGTATATATATTTCCATACGCGTCAAATGTCCAGACGTTTTGTATGGAAATTTGAACAGCACCACAACGGACGTAAGGAGAATTAAAAATCTTCCATACAAAACTTCTTGAAATTTAACGCATATCGCGATCGAGTTCAACTATTCGAATTCAATATTGGTTCGTGCTAAGGATACAGATCTCAGTTTTGTAGTTAATGGAGTTGGATACTCACGGCGGACCGAAGTGAGTCGGGGTTGTTGACGAGGCCGACGATGAGGTCGATGTTGTTGGCGAGGCGGGCCAGGTAGTTCATGACGGCTGGACGCAGTCCGGACTTGTTGCCGGTGCGAACGGATCCAGCGAATGCATTGATGACCTACAATATGTTTGACATACAATTTCAAATCCAGCACTCGAATACCATAGGTAAAGGCAGGTCTTGGATACTGAAAGTGGTAAAACAAATAGCTGCAATGTAATGATGGCTGTTACAAGAACTTGTGAAAGCCGAGAAGCTACGCCATCGGTTTGCAAATCCACGGCGGCTATCAACAAATCTGTTCTGCACTACACTTGGGGACCTCGTTGTAAACAGTAGTTTACAGCTTGTTAGCAATTTAATTAATTACGCCGATACTGCTGGTGTCCTTAAGAAATATAGGCCTTCAGGTCCCAGCTGCATTTACACCCGTTAGCACTCACCAATCCGCACTGGGCGGGCATGGTGGGTCACAGCTCAATTTCCCTATTCCATCCATAGGGAAGGCCTGTGCCCCAGCAGTGGGGACATAAATAGGCTGATGATGAGATGCAGCCGAATCTACGGCTTGACGAGCTTTGCTAAGCACAGAGGACTCAAGTAACGGACAAATAAAATACATAAATAACTTCATGTCCTCCCGTCCATTTACAGTCGTTAGTATCACCAAATGTAAAGCTCAGGTAGACGTCCAAGTTATCTTTATACGATTCTGTCCATTTGCGTGGACTGCGCTTTAATGTGCTGTTGCAGTAGGATCGTTATTAAAGCTGGTGATAAAGTACTCACAGCAGCGGCTTCACAGGATTGCCCTGGCACGCCAGTAGCGAGTTCCCCGAGGATAGCGATGGTTTGTGCGATGGCCAGGCTCTGGCTGTTCCGGTCTTGCTGGTTGGCCAAGTCGTGCACGCCCTCCAGCAGCGTTAAGGTGTACACGTTGGAGTCACCGCCATCTACGTTGTCCAAGGCGTTTCTTGTCAGGGCACTTTGAAAGACAAAATGTAATGATACATAACAAAAATGGTGATAGTATCATACAAAACTTCTAGACATTGGATGCGTCATCATCATCAGCCTATTAATAACCCCACTGCTGGGGCACAGGCCTTCCATGGATGGAATAGGGAGGTTGGGCCATGACCCACCACGCAGGCCCAGTGCGGATTAGCTGGTGCTAATGACGGGTTAACATGCTTTCCGAACCACGGAAGATTTTTGGTCACCCATCCAATGACCGACCACTGCGAAAGTAGCTTAACTTTCAAACTATAAATAACCTAAACAACTCTACACAACTAAGCTGTGTGTAATAAACTAATAATAATGCGCATCCCAAATGGTCATAGTTCTATAGAAAAAAATTATCCCTGACCCACTTACCCAATAATTCGCTTAAAAATGTCAAAACAGACAAGTTTTCTTTATTAGAGAATGCGTGGTTGCACTTAAGACTTTCCAATATTAAGGAAACTCTATTAAAGATTTTTGAAATTCGATCTTGTTTTCAATGCATTAGTTAAATTTTTAAATGAAATTGTAATTGTAGTTTTGAATTTTGAAATAACTTTCAAAATAGTAAATCATCGTAAATATAACAGAAACTCTTTCGATATCTTAAAACTAATAAGGAAATCATAAATCCATGAGCAAAACTTCCTCAGAAAACTCCGTCAACATTATTTTTATGTTACCAGAAGGCGGCCAAATATGTAACGTCAATTATTATTGTTATGTTCTGAAAATAACAAGTTTGTTTACAGAGATGCGTGCATTTATGCAAAAGTCTACCTTAATGATTTGATATGGTCGTAAGAAAATAAGAATAAGGTAGGTCAGGAATCGAATTGGCTGAGAGTACAAAGCTTATTATTGATGTAAGTAACTTGATAAATAAATAAATTATTATTTACCTGGAGATGAATCGGCCGTTTTCATTAAGTGGAGGGATTTCATTGATGCTGTATTGTGTCAGCGTTACAGGCACGGCGGCGGCGAGTGCGCCCTGAAAAGAGTACATATTCGTAAATAAATACTGTTAATTAAATAAGTTCCATAAGAGTATTAATTTAATAACATCTTTCTTCAGAATGAAATGTCAGGTTTATGGTTCCAATAATTTGGGTTTGGGCGTTGAGATATCAGTTAGTGAACCATTGCTTTTTAATATTAGGGTAGGTATAGAAGATTATTTCATGACCGACGGCTGCGAAGTAACCCATATAAATGAAAGGACTGGACTTTCAAGAAACCCACCCTCACGACGTATTATTTCAGTTTATTGTTAGTCTCAGTCTGTCAGGTGGAAAATAGTTTTTATAAGTCACAGGAAGAACCGAGAGAAACTGGAGAAAAGCGTCAATTTGCGCAAGAACGTGTTTTAAAATGGCTTGTTCAGGTTTATGTGTATGCAATATGTTGGCACTTTTGTAAGATTTTTTATAGCTTTTATTTGAACTTCTTTCAAATAATTGTAAAGGCCTAAATTTATTTATTTATTTATCGAGAGCGACTTGCGATTTCTATTTATTGATATAATGTTTTGTTCGAAAACTAATAGGGACTTGATTATTTTTTGTAAATTCCTGGCTCATTGATAAAGTTCTACTTTAAGAAAACTAGATGCCTACTGCTGAATTTTGGTTTGTCTTTGTTAGTTCCCAATTCACTTTTAGAGGTTATAAAAATAAAATAACGGCGTTTTCAAATCCTTATTTCTGCACCAACTAACTCTCCATCGCAAAGTAGAGTCATATTTTTCCAGTATTTATATAATAATAGTGTGAAAAGGTGATTTTTTTTGCGTACATTTGGATACGTACAGGAGGCCTACTTTAATTCAACGAAAAACGAAATTTCGATCGAAACTTCGTACTTTTCTTACTATGTTTCTGGTTCGTTTTTAATTTATAATAATATTCGTCGTCGGAATATAGATTAAGGTGTAGATTTTCTAAGCCTATTCAAAGAAAGCTTCAATTTGATAGTTTATCGTTCAAATTAAGTATAGCCTTAAATTGACGTAATTAAATTTCGTTTCAACTTGGTTATCGAAAGTTCGTTTCGGAAAAAGAGAGTTGACCTCCAGGTGTATTCTATATTATTTCTTCTCTATATTTAAACATTAAACCTTTTTTGTTTACCCACTATTTCTAAAATATATTCTATTAAGATTTCACGACGCAGTTCAAACTAATAAATTCCTTGTTAAAATAATAAATATTATCTAACACAATTATTTCACTTGTCTTTTAACACTTCTCTTTTAAAAATAGGTACATACACAGTTCATGCGTTACAGTACAGGTTCCAATTTGTGAGTTTCGTTTTGTCAAAGTCTATGAATACCGATCAGTTGTGAATTTGTGAGCCGTCGTCTCCAGAGCCGGTGTCGCCTCGAAGTCGGCGTGACACGCTGGGTGCCTACATATTCACATGTAAATCTCCCTATTCCCTTGACAACGACTACTGAGGATTTGAACACCTGCGTCACAGTACTGTATTCGGACAGCAGTAACTCGCTTCTATGTACCTGTTCGAACACAGCAAGTATCGAAGTTCACCTCTCATTAAGTTGGTTATGTTAACCATTCATATTAACTGTTATTAGTTAATGATATTACTACAATATCATTTATAACTATGTTATAGTCCAGCTGTGTAAAGGAGTTTTAGCATTCCTCACATTGATAAAAATAGAATTTGGGGATTTTTTGGGTTGGGATAAAACCAACTAACTTGGGAAACCATGATCGACATCTCAGTATAAAAGTATGTGTTTTTTAATTTTGCCCAACGTCGTTATGTGGTTTGGTCTATTACAACAAAGTAAGCCATTTCGAGCGCAACAGGTCTTAAGCCTGTCCCCGACAAGTATATAATTTTAAAATGTTTGTTTTTTTTTGACTTCTGTCGGCATTTCCGGAGTGCCACTGCCATTTTTTTCTAAAGGATTGATACTTAAAGGCGTAAAATATAATTTTACGTAAATGTGTTATGTATAAATCCTTAAGTTTTTAATTTTTTTTTGTTACTTAAATGGCAGGGATAATATACATTTATTTGAAATAATAATAGTACCTAATATATTTTTATTGTGAATTATAAAAAAACCTTAGTTATTACTACCAATAATAGGGGTGATGACGGGGTACAGTAAAAGAAATTCTATTTAGCCCGTCAGTTAGATGATCAAAAAATAATGGACACGTATTTTTTCTTTGGGCAATCAACCAAAAAATGACAAAGTTATAGCGCGTCAAAGTTTGGGAGTAGGGGCTCGTGACGTCACTTTTGAGTGAATTTTCACTTATAAGTGTACTCAAACGTGACGTCATGAGACTTTTCAAATCAATATATCTCTGCAATGTTTATATTATGTGAAAAAAGAAAAAATACGTGTCCAATACTTTTTGATAATCTACCTGATAAACGATGAAAAAAAAATAGTCATCATCCCTATTCTTGTAATAATGCTTGATTTAACTATTCCAAAAACAACTTTAAACTGAAAGGGCAATATATCTCTTACATTATACATAAAATATATCTGACTAAGCAACCGACACTGATTTGAAATTAATACGTTATTTTGGATTCTTTGTAAGTTTTAAATAAAAATACAAGTTACTGTTTTTTACTTCAACTATGAAACCAAGTTGATATCTCTCAATCTCCAATAAATAGATGTACAGACTTCGATATTTCCCGGGTGCACTGCTGTGTTCCTTTCATACTTTGTCAGGATATTAAGGGATATATTAGCCTTGTTATTTTTCGTAAATAAATATTTGTTTTTTTACAAGATGATGATTGATTTATAATCTTAAGTTCTAGAAGTGTTAGTTGTATTGGAGCAAAACTTAAACATCCTATCTCTAGTTTATAATACATTATGTTCGTTTCAAAAAAATATTAACTTGCTCATCACAGATACCTTCTAGGAGGTCTGGTACCTAAAGAGATGGTATGAATTAAATAAGTACGTTGAAACAAGATTCATTTAATTAAAATACTGCTATAAATTACACAAAAGATATGATCGGGCACATTAAGTACTTGTCTCCATTTTTGTTTATTCCGAACATTATTACAAACAAAACAAAATAAGTGGAAGAAAAGATGACTTACGGACACGAGGAGCGATACCAAAACGAGAGGCAGCATTTTTCTGGTCTTTAACCGACCAATTCGGTATATAATATACACAAAAACATCCATATTTATCCATTATTTATACATTTTTCAACAATAACGCACTTGTTCAAACAAACATCAACATTGGACAGCACTCAACTACATTAATTTCAGCTTCAAAATGTATTCTATGTCTAAAGTAATAGAGGCTTTTATCAATAAAAATCTTCTTTTCGTGGGCGCTTAATATGTGAATGATTATTATTTATCGATTGATTTGTAACAATGAGATTAATTGGTGTTTTTGTTATATTAAAGCTGATTGTTATAGTTTCGTACAATGTGAAATTAAGACGCGTTGACGCCATTTGCTGTGTAAACTCAACGAAGGTGATCTTCGTTTGCAGTTCAGGGGGCATATTCTGGTCTTCAGCACTACGATTTTCTAAATCACAGCTATGATACAAATAGGAAAAAATAGACAAGTGCGAGTCGAACTCGCGCACGAAGAGATCCGCCCATCTTCTATCTAAATAATTATATAAAAGAAGAAACTGAGGGATTGACATATCAACGCACAGTCCAAACCGCTAGGTTTAGATACTCCAAATTTGGCACGTAGGTTTCTTATGATGTCTGTAGGGGTGCACTAAGACAGGATTTTCCAATATTTACCCCCGAAGGAGTTAAAATAGAGGATGAAAGTTTGTATGAAAAATCTCATTCCTTGAGTTAATAGACTTGAAATTTGGCACGAATACTTACTTAAATGAATAAATACTTACTTAAATGAATAAATAAAAACGTTATAATAAATTATAACGTTTTTAATTTTTAGTTTTTTACTTTGTCCTAAAATACCCCCTAAAAGGGGATTGGGAGAGTGTAGAAGTTTTTATACGGATTAATTTTATCGCGCTTTTGGATTAATTCGAAGCTAGGTATTTTTACTAAAGACCAGTAATAAAGAATAACGTGTTTCAGGTTTTTTCAAAAACCTACCCCAAAGAGAATAAAAAAGGGAATAAAAGTTTGTACGAAAAATCTTATTCTTTGATATAATAGAATTAAAACTTTGGTACTAATACATAATAAAGTTTGCCATTTTTGGTTTGCCTTAACCTACTTAGGGGTACCTAAAGGGGGGTTGGAGGGTGCCGAAGTTTTTATATATAGAATTAATTTTGACGCGCATTCGATTAGCTAGAAACTCAGTTATATTTTGGAATTTCTACCCTTGAGGGGTTAAAAAGTGGATGAAAGTTAGTATAAAAAAATTGCATTCCTTGGGTTAATAGACTTGAATCTTGACACAAGTACTTATTCAAATCTATACTAATATTATAAAGAGGAAGAGTTTGTATGTAAGTATGTTTGTAACGAATTGGCTCAAAAAGTACTGGACCAGTTTTAAAAATTCTTTCACCATTTGAATGCTACATTATCACTGATTAATAAAGGCTATAGTGTATTTTCAAAAAAGTTAGGGTTCCGTATGAAAACCTCGATAATGTAACCCAACGTATGTAAAATGTACCAAAAAATAGCCTTAAATCGTGTACGCTGCGGAAGTCATTGATAATAGTGCAAAGTGATGTAGTTAAGTTTTATAGAGGATACCAATATCTACAAAAAAGTCCACTATACCATGTGTCTAACTATTACAGTTATGTCACAACGAGAGGTCCCCTGCGGTTTCACAGTTCAGTCAAACCTAAAATATTTTCAGGCTGTCGTGGACTTTTTTACAGAACTTTTAAAGGGGAAGAAAGAATTCCGTCATACATGATTTTTGTGTAACTTTAACCGTTAACCTAGCGTAAGCAACGGAATCTCATTAATGCCTAAATATCCATAAATTTCTCATCGCCTGGTAATATATAGCCTATAGCTTTCCTCCATAAATGCACTGTCCAATACAAAAATAATTTTTCAAATCGGAACAGCAGAACAATTTTGCATTCGGTACAACGGGTCCTAAACTACGCAACGATTTTTTTACTTGGAATGGAGGGTTTATAATTATTATGAAGAAAGTCATTGTATATATAATACAAGCCTTTGAACAAAAACTATAGTCTACACTACAGCTCTACACCGAAGCAAAGCCAGGGCGGGCCACTAGTAAATTATACAGTTAATCATTTTTAGTTTTCCTAAACTACCCCCTAAAAGGAATTAAGGGTATCGTAGTTTTATATGGATGGAAATAGTAAAGTGGCCATGCGGAAGTTTTAATTATAACTCCACTCTGCCTTAAAGTTGCCACTCAACCTTAGATATGTAATAACTCCATTATGTAATATTTGCATAAGTATTGAGTAAAAATAAAATTATTGTCTGGGATGAAAGTACTATGGCCCATAAAAAAATCAAAGAAGCTTTGGATAGGGCTCTGCAAGACATACGCAGCAACAAAAGTTTGATGGGTGGTTTGACTGTATTGCTGGCAGGAACTGAAGGACTATCGTCAAACTCTACCAGCGGTTCCAAGAGGAACACTTGCTGATGAGGTAAAAGTGTGTCTTAAAAGATCATCATTGTGGCCCTCAGTTAAAATCTTAAAATAAACAAAAAATATGAGTGTATGTAATGTTTCCGCTAGCCAATTATTTAATATTTTAATTACTTAAAACTTCTAATACATTTCCTGTAATCTACAGCAAAGAGCTATACAGGTCAAGTCATTTTACATTTCTTAAAAAAAGTAGTTTGAAACCTTGAAATTGAACCCTTTCATTTGATATTATAACGGTTAGCTAAAGTTAGATTTTCTTATTTACCGCCCAAAGTAACCCCCATATTCAGATTTTTTTTATTTACTTTATTCGTCCGTGTTTGACTTAGAGACAGGTACATATATGTACGTACCTAATTTCAACTTGATCGGTCCACTACATTCAGAGCAAATCGATTGTGACAGACACACAGACAGACAACCGAGCGATCCTAAAAGGGTTCCATTTTACCAATTGGGCAAGGAAACCTTTTTTTTTCTGAATACCATAAAAGAAAATATATATAGCGCTTCGTCGTCGAGCACGGGGTAAGTTGGAAGTTTGACAATATTCTTTTTTTATTTTTTTTTCGTTTTTGGTATCATATCAAATAGAAATAAACCACGTCTTAGCGATTGTGGTTAGAATCCGGGATGTTTGATATCAAATTCGGATTAAGGAAAAAAAAATATATATATACATTAATATATACAGGAACAATGAACCTTAAACTAAAAACCTTAAAAAATATAATATAATAACTAAAATATATTCCTAAAAGGAGTCCCTTTAGGCAAGGTTCCGAAGATACTGGCAGCGTTCCCCCTTTGAATAGCTAGACTAATTCGTTGTCCGAGGTAGCTGCCAGTTCTTCAATCTCCAGTGATGTCGACTAACCTTTTTGATATTTCCTTAAAAAACCTCATAGCGCTAGGACCCCACGGACCAAGGGTCTCGACACCGAATGGGACAAAATAATATTCGGAGCCTAGACCCCTGTATATGCATGCTTTTCCTTTTTCAGCCGCTTCACAAGCCGCACCAGCTCTGTTGTTGGTTCCATGTAGATGGGAAGGGGCCAGCGTGTCTGAACAGGTTGCATCCCATACCAGTGCCCGGTCCATCTTCCATGGAATCAAACTCGTACCGTCCGGTCTCTTGCCATCGTCTCTTGCAATACCAGTCGGCTCAAGTAGACTTGGCACGTTGACGGTGGCAAGGGACCGGCGTATAATAACGTTAAGTGCGGCATGTCTCGAGAAGCGGCCTGCACTTTTTTGGCATGACAGTCCGTGATGTCCTAGTTTGTCGCCATCACTGCCACAGGGACATTTATGAGGAGCGCAGACCGGAACCCCAAGCCGTAGAGCCGTTGCGATTCGGAGCGTGTCAGGCTCAAGAAATGTTCCTGTATTTGACGAAGGGTACGCGAGAAGCCAGTAGCCAGCCTCATGCGCACCCACGGCCAAAAGCCTAGCAAGCGCCGAACCTGTACTACAGCTCAAAGATCTGGGTGTTTCAAAAAGGAGCAGCAACGGAGCACATACGTAAATTTTGGGACAAAAAGACAGAATTTTAAGATGCAAAGTGCATAATGTGGACTAATTTCAAGGAGACGGTCAACAGAATTTTGAAATTTAGTAATTGAATTATTAATATATTCAGAAATAGATTCATCAAAAATTGGAGAAGCTAAAAGGTATAGGGAATTACTGTTAACTATTTTAATATTTGGAGCTAAAATATTAAATTTTTGTTTTACGTCATTTAAATTTAAGTCGCAGTTATTTATAAAAAGTTCGCATTTTCTAAAATTAAGCTGCAAACCGATGGCTTCAAATTTATTTTTGATTAAAAAAAGGTCCGAAAACACAGTATCCACATCACCTCCTAGCGTTCCGTCGTCCAAATACCAAACATTGAATTTAGAATTTAAATTTTTGATTATCGGATTTATAGCCAAACTAGAAATTGCAGGCCCAAGGGGATCACCCTGTTGACAGCCTACTTCCGAGGAAAGTTCATTAGAACGATATAACAATTTTGTTGGATCAGCGTAACTAAGAAGAAGATAATTGTTGTTTTATTTCCATCAGCAGGGTATCCCTATTTACCGAATTGAAAGCATTTTTGACATCAATTTGTTATTTGTTTATTTATTTGTTTGTATAGGAAAAAAAATTTATATTTATTTTTAGGGTGGCCCCTTGCCCCGGTTGGTCCCCTGGGTGGATCGCTATCCCAAATCTGATTGGGATTCGGACTTAGCGATCACAAATTACTATAATTTTAACCAAGTCTCTAGGCTTGAAACAGAAGAGAAAGCTATTTTTTTTTGCGGACAACTCCGTAAAGATATATACAGACAGACACAAACCACGTTATAGATTCTAAAGTATGAAAGTAAACTATCAAACACAATAATGTATTCGTCAAATCAGTTTTACGATAACATCAAAAACTCTACATACTTTTCTACTCTACGTCGTTATATCATCATCATCACCAATAGCCTATTAATGTCCCCCACAGGCTTTCCCTATGGATGGAATAGGGAGATTGGGCCATGTATGACCCACCGTACGGGCCCAGTACAGATTGGTGGGCACTAATGACTGCAGGTACAGCCGGGATGAACGGCCTTAACGTACCTTTCGAAGCACGGAGGAGCT